AGTCCATGATGTGTGGTATATTGTTGCTCCTATGTTCCCAGAGTCCATGATGTGTGGTATATTGTTGCTCCTATGTTCCCAGAGTCCATGATGTGTGGTATATTGTTGCTCCTATGTTCCCAGAGTCCAGTCCTTGGTTTGTGCGGCCATGATGGACGGGGAGAGCGACAGTGAGCAGCCCGACGGTGCCCAGTACCATCTACCGACTCGCTCATCACCAACAATGAAAGGTCAAGGTCACAAGATGAGCCAGAGTTCCCTGACCCCGGGCCCCAGCTCAGAGCCGCCCACCCCGGCCCCGGTCATCGTCATTGACGACCAGACGCACCGACTGACGGCCTCGATGCGCTCCCGCAAGGATGCAGTGGCCAAACACTCCACGGAGGACAATGTGGAGTTTGAGAACAGCTGTGTGTACCTGGCAGAGAACTCCATAGAGGCCAAGAAAATCTCCAACAATTTCATGGTGAGTTTTTTTTTGTTCTGCTGTGTGGAGTCATGTTAGATTCAAAACAGGGCAGCAAGACTTGTGACTTTGAGAAAAATTTCACAGACCATGCCCATGATATTTTGGTTGCCAGTGAGAGAGCGCATTGAATTAAAAGTTCAGTGCATGGTTTATAGATCGTTACATCAGTGCTCACCAAATTACCTTTCAGAACTTATGGAAATGTACGCACCATCTCGGAATTTAAGATCTTCAAATGACCATCAGCTCTGCATGCCTAGGTCCAGAACAATGATGGGTGAAAGAGCCTTTTCCATCTGTGCCCCAAAACTTTGGAACAATTTGGATTTAGATGTTAAAATGTCGCTTTCAATTAATCAATATTAGTCAAAGTTGAAGACAATGTTTTTCAGGAAAGTATATTTATAATGCTGGAACTCTATCTGAAATATCAGTCAGTTTGGTTTTTAAAAAAAATTAATTTATGCATGTCGCAGTGGTACTGAGCTTTTGAGGTTTTGTTTGTGTGTGTGTGTGTTTTGTAAGCACAACCGTGCACTTTTTGTGGATTCTGGCAAGTTATAAATTCATTTATTATGAATTATTGTTATTATTATTATTATTATTATTATTATTATGTTCTGCTATAGTTACTGCTGGTTTACTGTGGTCTGTCCACCAAATCATTTCTTAATCCTCTCAAGTCTTTGCACGTGGCTCCAAAAGTTGGTTGACCAACAGGATCTGAAAGTCCAATAATGAAAGCTACTGCAAAATAAGATGTTCTTTGTTGTTAGCCTTAATCGAGCCCAAAAAGTTGTAAATGATTTACAGTTACAGCCAAGTTTCACTGCTACACTTGCTCTAGTTGTATGAATTGTTTCACCTCTGATCCCTGGCCTAGTTTTACAATCCTTGTGTGTGTCAGAAACAGAAGAGAAGGAGCATATTTCTCTCACAAATCTTTGTTGCTTATTAAAATGAATGGCCTTTTACTTTTATTGAATGTAAATGAAAAATCGGTTAATTTGTTGGCTGGAAAAAGGAAGTGGAACACAAACGTAGAAGAACAGAACAATGTGTGTCCTGCGCAGGTTCAACGAATTCCCAGTGTCTGTCCTCTCAGTTTGTCTGGCCGTTTGTCTTCTCATGTCCATAAAATCAACAACCTGTCTACACGTGTGCTCAACAGTTGTGTCACATAAAATCAACAACCTGTCTACACGTGTGCTCAACAGTTGTGTCACGTAAAATCAACAACCTGTCTACAAGTGTGCTCAACAGTTGTGTCACGTAAAATCAACAACCTGTCTACACGTGTGCTCAACAGTTGTGTCACGTAAAATCAACAACCTGTCTAGAAGTGTGCTCAACAGTTGTGTTACAACGGGGTGGGGTCAGGCGCTCGTCAAATTTTGTGCTTGTGAAGTTTTTGATAGAATTTGCTTGAGCGGAGATTTGCGCTACACAAATACTCTATATTGTTATTGTATCATATTTCTAAAGCTTGTTCTTTTGTCTTGCTTTCGATGAAAAAATTACTCGTTTATCTTCGATGCAAGTTGAGATATTTGAGATTGAAAGAGGTGGGGGTTGTCTGGTTTCTGAGATAAAATTAGCAAGAAAATGGCTGCAAAAGTTTGTTGACTTGTAAAGTGTGAGAGTCCAAGGAGATAGTATATTAACATACATTGCTTGTGCCTGTAATCAAAGTTTTTCCATAGTAAACTTCACTCAGCGATGTGTTTTTCTATAGACGTAACAGGTGTTGAGCGACAAATGAAGGATTGCAGAAGGGGGAGAAAAATGGCGGTCTCTTCAATATTTTTGTTTCCCGGAGCGCCTGATATCCCCATGATGCCTCACAATTGTAGGTCGAACTTCTCGAGACCTGAGTCGACTTGCTTCAAGCTCTGGAGTAAAATGTGATGAGAAATTCCTAATTAGTCAGTGCACAGAGTTCCTTGATTGGATCAGCCACGCCGCAGGGATGACCTTCAAGCTCCCCCAACTGTGTCGAAGCCACACAAAGCAAGGTCAATAACTGCAGCGGTCGGCTTTCCCCAGCTGTCTGATGGTGTCAGGCGGACCTGACTTTGTGCTTTGTAAGTTCCCGTCTGGTTACCCTTGTCATCAGGGCCAATGTACGCGGTGGACAATGTACACAGTGGACAATGTACACAGTGGACAATGTACACAGTTGACAATGTACACAGTTGACAATGTACACAGTTGACAATGTACGCGGTGGACAATGTACACAGTTGACAATGTACACAGTGGACAATGTACGCAGTTGACAATGTACACAGTTGACAATGTACACAGTGGACAATGTACACAGTTGACAATGTACACAGTGGACATTGTACACAGTGGACAATGTACGCAGTTGACAATGTACACAGTTGACAATGTACACGGTGGACAATGTACACAGTGGACAATGTACACAGTGGACAATGTACACAGTTGACAATGTACGCGGTGGACAATGTACACAGTTGACAATGTGTTGACAATGTACACAGTTGACAAAAGGTACCAGAGTGAATCCACTGCTGCAAGTTTGACCCGTTGTGGTTGGCGGACATAACATGTTACAATATCTAATGTGATCCAAAATGCCAGCCCTTTCGGAACCTTCGGTGACACGGTAAAGATGACTCCACTATGGAGCGGGACAGAGGGTGACCACCTCGTGACTCGACAGAGCTGAGGAATGTAGGACTAACATGATCTAAACAAACTACTGACCAGTTGTGGTAGCCATCTCCAGTTGGGGTATGGCAACAATTAGATGAGTAACTTACCAAACAACGTTAGAAGAGTGAACTAACATATTTTTGTACTTGTTTACTCATGTATTTATTTGTATATATAAAACATTCTCCTGTGTGTTTACTCTAAGACCAACAGCTAAGTTCAAAACCCAAAAAGCTGCTCAGTTTCTTGTTATTACTAAACACAAAAGCGCCAGATGATTGAAGTGGGCAGGGTCAAACCGGAAAAAAAGGTACAGCGGGAAAGAAAGTAATGCAAAAGTCTCTCTGTCTCTCTCTGTCTCTGTCTCTGTCTCTCTGTCTCTGTCTCTCTATCTCTCTGTCTCTCTGTCTCTGTCTCTCTCTCTGTCTCTGTCTCTCTCTCCCTCTGTCTCTGTCTCTCTCTGTCTCTGTCTCTCTGTCTCCGTCTCTGTCTCTCTGTCTCTGTCTCTCTGTCTCTCTCTCTGTCTCTGTCTCTCTGTCTCTTTCCCTCTCTCTCTGTCTCTCTGTCTCTTTCCCTCTCTCTCTCTGTCTCTCTCCCTCTCTCTCTCTGTCTCTCTCTGTCTCTGTCTCTCTCTGTCTCTGTCTCTCTCTCTCTCTGTCTCTCTCCCTCTCTGTCTCTCTCTGTCTCTGTCTCTCTGTCTCTCTCCCTCTCTCTCTCTGTCTTTCTCTCTCTCTGTCTCTCTCCCTCTCTCTCTGTGTGTCTCTCTCTCTCTCTCTCTGTCTGTCTGTCTGTCTGTCTGTCTCTCTCTCTCTCTCTCTCTCTCTCTCTCTCTCTCTCTCTCTCTCTCTCTCCCTAATGGTAAAACCTGTGTGTTGGGCTACAGTAAAGTGATGTCACGCTCATTCGCAGAAGCCCAATGAAAAGCTGTTGTGTGATTTGTAGCCATGTAGAATGAAGCTGCATCATAATCTGTCTACATCGACAAATGACCTTGAATGTCTGTTGAATTAGGAGGGGGGGGGGGGTGCGTTTGTCTAGAATTTCCATCATGCACAATGACGTGTATTTGACTGGGATGCAAGTTCAGACACAGGCTGTCCTCACAAAGAAAATCTGCTTGATTTCCATGATGAATGCTAATGAGGTCATAGAGGGTCATACCAGGGAATTAGTATTCACGGTCATGTTGCCAGGTGGGGATGGAGGTTTCCCCACAGGTGTACAGGAACAATCTGACAGCGAATGAACCCTGTACAAGAACTGTGTACATGAACCGTGTACAAGAACCGTGTAAATGAACCGTGTACAAGAACCGTGTACAAGAACCGTGTACAAGAACTGTGTACAGGAACAGTGTGACAGGACTAGTGGCCAAGAGAACCCTGTACAAGAACTGTGTACAAGAACATTGACAGCGAGAGAACCGTGTTGAATTCTTACCACTTGGTCTTGGAATATCTCTGCTTTCTGTGTTCTGTTCCCCCCCCCCGTCCATGTTGAATCACAACAAAGCGTGCCATCGTGGTGGAGTTGTGGACAGACTGGACTGAACGGGCCCGTGTCAGTTTGCAATAGATTGTAAAAGTTTGCAATAGATTGTAAAAGTTTGCAATAGATTGCAGAATTTTGCAATAGATCGTATAAGTTTGCTATAGATTGTAGAAGTTTACAATAGTTTCTATAAGTGTGCAATAGATTGTAGAAGTTAGCAATAGATTGTATGCAATAGATTGTATAAGTTTGCAGTCAAGCTGCAATTTCCATCCCCCAGTTGTATTAGTTTTGCTCATCCTTTCTGCAATATTTCCCTGTGAACCCTGTTGATGTCTCAAGTATTTGACTTTCATGTTTTTGATTGAATATAAGATTGGATAAATTCTTCCCTCCCCTCTAGTTTGGAATGAAGAAGTGGAAGAGTCATGTGACCTCGAGGCCACTCGTGTCTCGCTCGGAGATTGTCCAGAACTTGTACTCTGACATGAGTGAGGTCAAGGACGTGAAAGGTGAGCAGTGTTTATTGTCCAGTTTGTCTTTTGGGGTTGTTTTTTTAGGGGGGGGGGGGCGTAAAAGTTAACAGGTTTGTCCTCTTGTGAGACTTCCCATCCTTGGAAGTTTCTCTCAACTTTGCAACATGACGCATCCTTTGATGTCCAGCTGCTTCCATTTCCCCCGCATCTATGTCCTTTTGGGGGAGGGGAGGGAGGGAGGGGGGTTCACCTGGGTAAGATGGCTTCTTGGCCTTTCCTGAGTGTAAAACAAACATCTTTGTGTGTCAGGGCTGAAGTTTTTCTGTCTCTGGTTGCAGATCTGATGTCTTATCCAGCATGTCCAACAGATAAATAGTTCTTGGTCCCTAGAGAACAGATAAATAGTTCTTGGTCCCTAGAGAACAGATAAATAGTTCTTGGTCCCTAGAGAACAGATAAATAGTTCTTGGTCCCAACAGATAAATAGTTCTTGGTCCCTAGAGAACAGATAAATAGTTCTT